ATTCTGCTCCAATTACCTACATACTCTCGTACCTGAGATTACGTTTGGTCGATTTACAGTACCGGTTAATAAGATACCACGAACACGTGTTTTAGAGTTGATTTTCGGCCAGTTCGGAAATTTTCAGGAGTCTGGAGCTCGATTTTCAAACTTCCGATCAATTTGGAAGTTTTGAAGGGTGTAAAACAGGCCTACTATAAAAACTTTGCATTCTCAGAAATTTTTGATAAATTGCAGTCTTTTAGTTATTGGCCGAATTCTGAAAGACATCAAATTTTTTCCGTTTTTTGTACTTCAAACGAAAAAAACATATGTTATTCAGAAATCGGGAAATAGCTGGAAAACTAGGAATTCTCAAAAAACTCTGCGAATGCAAAACTTTCCATCTATGTCTGTTTTACATTTTCCGAAAATTTCAAAGTGATTGGAAATATGACAGCCGAGCTCGAGACTTCTGAAAATGGGCAAACTGGCCGAAAATCTACTGAAAATTACGTTTTCGTACATCTTATTGACCGGTACTGTACCTACCTCCGTACCCGAGATTAATTGAAATCGATTTATGATATTTTCATTACGAAAACAATCAACTTTAGGTTTCAACAAAGTTGGTATCATCCCTGGTCCCTGGTCCAACTCGAAAGAGTTCAAGTGATCTAAAATTGACTTGTTTAAATATAAATTTGCAGAATTTGACATTTATTTGAATTTGACATTCATTCATACAGTAATGTACACAATGATCGTACTCGTGATCCCATTAAATTTGAATAGTGTGATCCAATCACATGAGTATCCGTTTTGTTGATCATGTGCCGGTACGAATTCAATTTTTGTTTTGAAATTTTGAATTTGTTCGACTAATTTTGTATCTTAGCAAACGTTTTATCAAAACTAAACTACCCGCGCCTACCGGGCCATACCGGTTGCCAATGCTGTGTACTAATCCTCACCTTCAAAAGCGAATTCGATATCATATCGTTGAAACGAAAACAACAGTCTTGTGTACTCCGCTAGAATCGCCGCCGGCTCCTCCATGTCTTCAGTGTATGGAAATGAAATTAGTCGTCCTCTTCCGACACAAATGGAAAACTCGTCCCTTTTGATTGAGATTTTGTTTTTCCGAGATTTATTGTCAGCATTCTCCACAATCAGTCGAATAATCTCAGGGCACACCATCAAATGACTATCCACGAAACCAGCGAGAGATTCTGAAACATTTCAAGTTACGAAAAGTGGTGAAAATATTTTGAAATAAAAACACAAACTCACTTCCTTTAACCATTTGCTTGATATCCTCGTAGAAGTCTGAGAAATCTCCATTCTTGAAAAACCATTTGATGCAAATACATAGCAGAGTATCCGGCTCTCCACGTGGCGCGTCTCGAAAGCTTGTTTGAAATTGTCTCCGTGATGTGGAAGTCAACCCAACCGCAGAATTGATCAGGTAACTGACCACTTCTTGTGCCGGGGACAACATTGGAATTTCCTTGAAAATAGGCGGTCAATAGTTTGAAGAATGGGTGCGGTCAGGGACAAAAAGATATAAAAAGGAGATGTGTGAGCAAGGAGGCAAAGAGACAAAAATGGAGACATAGTTCAGATAGGAAACATAGAGATTTTGAAAGATTGTGCTGCGCGTGTGTGCGTGAGGAATGAGTGAGGATTAGAGTTTTACTTTTTAAGGGAAAGAGTAGTAGTGAGAAAAAGAGAAAATTAAGAGAAAGTGTGAAGAAAATGGGAGTCATTTGGGTAGAAAAATACAGCTGATCCGTTACTTGATCCGGATGAGCTCTTTAATGTTATGAGGAAGAGAAGTAAATGAGAAAAGCATGGGAATATAAAATGAATACAGATTTTTTTAAAAGAATTGTGTTGTTAATAGAATTTCAGGAAAGAAAAACGCTGGCCGTGATGCCCGAAATTCCGAGAACAATAATTACCGTAACCTAATGTTTTTGAAAAAATGTTTTTTTTCAGAATTTTTCGTCACAATTTTCTGGTATATCCACTAGAATTAATGGTCAAACAATAGTTGGAAAATTGAGAATCTTAGAATCTCAGAAGCTAGGAGAAGCTAGGAGCTAGGAAAATCTAGGAGTCCCAAAACTTCAAAATGTCTATCATTTTTGATTTTTGAATAGCTTCTCAAATTTCGAGAATTGCAGAAGTTCGAAAGTTTGAAATTTTTTAACAAATCCCAAAAATCAGGATTTTGAAATACTGTCACAGAATTTTAGAACTTCAGAATCTCAGAATCTCAGAATCTCAGAATCTCAGAATCTCAGAATCTCAGAATCTCAGAATCTCAGAATCTCAGAATCTCAGAATCTCAGAATCTCTGAATCTCTGAATCTGAGAAACTTAGAATCTTAGAATCTCAGAATCTGAGAATCTCAGAATCTCAGAATCTCAGAATCTCAGAATCTCAGAATCTCAGAATCTCAGAATCTCAGAATCTCAGAATCTCAGAATCTCAGAATCTCAGAATCTCAGAATCTCAGAATCTCAGAATCTCAGAATCTCAGAATCTCAGAATCTCAGAATCTCAGAATCTCAGAATCTCAGAATCTCAGAATCTCAGAATCTCAGAATCTCAGAATCTCAGAATCTCAGAATCTCAGAATCTCAGAATCTCAGAATCTCAGAATCTCAGAATCTCAGAATCTCAGAATCTCAGAATCTCAGAATCTCAGAATCTCAGAATCTCAGAATCTCAGAATCTCAGAATCTCAGAATCTCTGAATCTCTGAATCTGAGAAACTTAGAATCTTAGAATCTCAGAATCTGAGAATCTCAGAATCTCAGAATCTCAGAATCTCAGAATCTCAGAATCTCAGAATCTCAGAATCTCAGAATCTCAGAATCTCAGAATCTCAGAATCTCAGAATCTCAGAATCTCAGAATCTCAGAATCTCAGAATCTCAGAATCTCAGAATCTCAGAATCTCAGAATCTCAGAATCTCAGAATCTCAGAATCTCAGAATCTCAGAATCTCAGAATCTCAGAATCTAAGAATCTCAGAATCTCAGAATCTAAGAATCTCAGAATCTCAAAATCTCAGAATCTCAGAATCTCAGAATCTCAGAATCTCAGAATCTCAGAATCTCAGAATCTCAGAATCTCAGAATCTCAGAATCTCTGAATCTCTGAATCTGAGAAACTTAGAATCTTAGAATCTCAGAATCTGAGAATCTCAGAATCTCAGAATCTCAGAATCTCAGAATCTCAGAATCTCAGAATCTCAGAATCTCAGAATCTCAGAATCTCAGAATCTCAGAATCTCAGAATCTCAGAATCTCAGAATCTCAGAATCTCAGAATCTCAGAATCTCAGAATCTCAGAATCTCAGAATCTCAGAATCTAAGAATCTCAGAATCTCAGAATCTAAGAATCTCAGAATCTCAAAATCTCAGAATCTCATAATTTCAAAATCTCAGAATCTCAGAGTCTCTGGAGCTCAGAAGCTATGTAGGTGTCTCGGAAACTGAGGGTCTCAGAATCTATAGGTCTCAAAATTTCGTAACCTTTTTATAATTTTGGCGTTTTTCGAACAAAATCAGCGTTCTTCAAGAATATATTGACCGATTATGTTGACAGGCATGCTGTCGAAACTGGCATTTCACAAAAAAAGTAAGTAATAGATTACAGTGTGAAGAGAGAACAAAAAGAAAAAAAAAGATGAACCAGGAACGACAGAAGAGAGTGAGAGTTGGAGAAAATGTCCAATATCTTTTTCAAGAAGAAGAAGAAGACACTCATCTGTCCTGCCCCGGAAAATAGTGTTTGCCAGATGCATCAGAGAAACAAACTGGAGGGAAAACTGAAGAATTGGGTGTGTGTGTGTGTGTCTGTGTGTGATGACAGGAGAAAGTTGGCATCTGCCACTATTAACGCAAGGGCAAGGAAAGTACAGAAAGATTTTCATAAAAGGAAAACAAGTATGCAACAGTCAAAAACCCAAAAAAAAACTATTGCCCACAGACAGATTTTGAAAAAAAAAACCTGCTTTAAATCTGGAATTGTGAGAATAAAATCATTCAAAAACCTTCAGAAGTGAGTTGGTAGTAACTTTTCACTATTTTTCATGTTATTTTTGTTCAAAAACCGCAAGAAATAGTTGATAAGATTACTTGAAAGTTTATTAACTCTAGTGTTCAATAGAGCGCGTTTCCCTCGCCCTGTGTGCAACACACATACGTTGTTATTCGTTAACTTGACCTCTCCTGTTTGAATATGGTCTCTTCTGTGCGCATTGTATCGATTTTCTGAGGGGCCTGGGTGAGGAGGTCACCTGCTTTTACATGTATTTTCGCGTAATTTCAATGATTTGCCAAGTTGTTTTATTCATATTTCTCAATGTTTCAATTTTCAGGTAAAGATAACATTTCCGTATGATCGAATATGGGTAATATCGATGATTTTTCGTCGGTTGATTGGGGTGAAGACGGTGGAGAATTTCTGGATGAATCTATGCAATCTTCTACGCATCGGTAAGTATTAAATGAATTATTAATATCAAAATGAATGTCAAAAATGGAAGAAAAAGTATTTTTCAGGTCCGGCAGAAATCCGTCACCGCCAGTCAGAAACCGTAGTAGTCAGAGCCAAGCTGCTACTCCGTCTCCTAAGCTTCCCGGTATTCGGTTAGTTCCTTTTTTTTGAAAAGAAAAAAAAAACCTGTATTTCAGTGAGCAGTTGAGAATCATACGAGATGCAGCTGCTCATGGTGAAATAATTGATTTTGATGATAATCAAGTCAGATTAGAGCCACCACCTTGGTGAGTTTTCTAGAAAAATAAAAAGGATCTTCAAGTAGATGACAAATAATCCGGAGGAAACAAACATTTGGGACTTCTAGGGGTATAAGGCAATTCGAGGGAACAACATCCGCAATTCAGAGTAAAAATATCAAAAAACTCTAATTTTGTACCACCGAACTGTAGTTTTGTACCCCTGAATCACTTTGTACCTCTTGAACCCTCGAATCGTTGTACCCTCCGGAGTATGTGTCAATTAGATAAAATTAAATTCGGAGACTACAAGAACTGTTACCAAATTAAACCATTTTTTTCAGTCACCGTGCTCCGCGACCGCTTCCCCCTCCAGTAGTTGCTGCAAATATCAGAAATGAGGAGTACAATCATGAAGAAGCGTTAAAAACTGCTCTTGGAAGCGACTGTGAAGACGACTCGGATGAGGAGAGCGTGAGCAATGAGCCATCACGCTCACCCTCGCCATCAGCCAGCGGAGACGAAAATCAGGAGTACAAAGTGGAAGACGATCCGGAATTCGCCATTGCGGACGAGGACGAGATGGAGGATGAAGAGGAGGATATACCAGCTCGCCGTGGATCTTCAGAAGGCAATCGTTCTCCCAGAGGCTCACGTCATCGCCGACGAGCTATTCGAGACGACAACAGTAATGAAAACTTTTTCAAAAGATATAACAGTCTTCCGGTGGACGATGAAGACTACACTATCACCAGGAACGTCGAGTCTGAGAGCGGCTTGTCCAGTCTTCCTTGGAAAGTAGACACCAAATCCTGGAATAGACTTTTCCCGTAAGTTTTTTATTTATATTTTGGTTTAGTTTTATAAAAATGGCTTCAGATTCCAAAAAGATGGCGTTCAATGGCTCCAAACAAAGATGGACCATCGTAGTGGTGGGATTCTTGCCGATGAGATGGGTCTCGGAAAGACGATCCAGACTTGCATTTTTCTGAGATCAATTGCAGAAACTCAGCGCACCTCTTATAAGTAAGTGGTTGTTTCACATTTAACCTAACATGTATACATTTTCAGATACAAAGGTCTGGATACCTGCCTCATTGTGTGCCCCGTCTCTGTCACCCATCAATGGGTCGAAAAGCTTAATGAGTGGTTCCCAAGAGTGAGAGTCTTCCTCCTCCATCAAACAAGCTCTACTGGACGTGAGAGGAACTGGGCTGATAGGATTCTGAAAAAGCTGGGAAAGAAGTCCAGATACTATCCGGACGGAGCTGTGGTGCTCACGACATATGGGACTTTCACAAATCTCCACAAACGTATTGTCCCGCTTCCCTGGCAGGTCGTCATTCTCGATGAAGGGCATCATATTCGGAACGACGACACGAAATGCGCCGAAGCGATGCGACAGCTGACGACTACGCAGAGATTCATTCTCACTGGAACTCCTTTCCAAAATCGGCTGAAGGAATTTTGGAAGCTCATCGATTTTGTGAATCCAGGAAGACTTTCCGATGCGAAGACCTTCGATAAATGTTTCATAAGGATCATCAACGCGGGCGCCTACATCAATTGCTCACCGGAAGCTGCTGCCAAGGCTTACCAATGCTTGATGGCTCTCCATTGCGCCATCAAACCACTGATCCTCCGTCGTCTTCAGAAGGATCACCGAATGGAGTTGAATCTCACTGACATCGAAGAAGTGGTAAATGATGTTTAGAATAATTTACAATCACCAACTGGTTAACTTTTCAGATGATCAGCTGTGAACTAAGTCCGAGACAACGGCGAATCTACCAAGAGTTTTGCGGATCCATCGAAGTTCAGCAGATTCTTGAAAGGAATATAAAAGCATTCGGTGGAATCAATAAGCTTGGCGACATTTGTAATCATCCCGGAATCTATCGGAAAATGAAACCAGGAACCGAGAAATTTGGAAGAATGCATGATTCCGGGAAAGTCGTTATGCTCTTCAGGCTCTTCCGGAGATGGTTCAAGAACCCGAACAATCGCGTTGTGTTGTTCACTCAACGTTTGGCAGTGGTGGATATGTTGGCATTCTACTTGGATAAGAAGCAGTGAGTTGATTTGCTGATAATTTTTCACAATTAACCATACTTGTAAAATTCCGGGCCGGCCCGCCAAAGCCCGGGCCCGGGCCGGGCCTGAGGAAATTTTCAAGGCCCGGGCCCGGCCAGGAAGGCCCGGTGTCAAAAATTCTGTATTTTTGAGCCAAATTTTGAGCTCTCAATATAATTTTTTCCATTTTTTTTTCGTATTTCGGATTGTTTGTCTGTCTGTTCAAAAAAGATCGAAAAACTCGAAAAAAAATTTTTTGGTAGGAAAAAAATCACATAAGGGTCCCCCCTAATGTGTTTTTTGAAAATTTCAAAACTAGTGAAATGACGGGCCCGCCGGGACGGGCCGGGCCTCCGAAATTCCGGAAAAAAGCCCGGCCCGGCCCGTTACAAGTATGCAATTAACCACTATAATTTCAGAATTGCCTACTGCACGTTAACTGGGAACAACTCTCTTCCGGAACGCACAAGGATCATCAAGCGCTTTGAAGAGGATCTGAGCATCAAAGTATTCTTGATGACGACGCGCACCGGAGGACTAGGGCTGAATCTCGCTTCAGCCAACAAAGCTGTAATTTTTGATCCGGATTGGAACCCGCAAGCTGACAACCAGGCAAAGATGAGGATCTATCGAATGGGACAGCAGCACAAGGTCACTATCGTCCGGCTGGTTTCGAATGGATCGATTGAAGACCGAAAGTATTTCAAGTAAGCGCACAGAGTTGTAGAAAGCATTCCAACGAATTCTTTTTTAGGCAGATCCAGAAAGAGAATCTTGCTGAACAGCTTCTGAACAACGCCGATGTGAACCACACGATCCCCAACAACACGCTGAAGGATCTGTTCACCCTGAAACCCGCAGGATTGAAAGGGTCGGACATTGGAGTCTATATCGAAGGAGACATCGTCCCAGAGGAGGGTTTAAAGTCCAGCAACAAGGATCTCAAAAAGAAAGCGAAGAAGGATCTGGTGAGTTTTGAATACTCTGATGTTTTCGAATAAAAACATTTTCTAGAAGCACAAGCTTGAAGGCTTCGAGGACAAGAAGCTGCTCCTATCACTGTTTGATGATGACAAATTGGTGGCGATGAGGAACCACGCGAGGACGGTTCAAGATGGAGCTTGCCTCCGTGCTCCAGAAAGGAAACGAATTAATGAAGCTGTGGAGAGCGCCGTTAAAAGCCTTCTGCATTCGTAAGTCATATAAATTTCAAAATCTAGTTTTTATTTTGGAAAAATTTAGGGAAGGAAGACTGGCTCATGGCTGGAAGAAGGAATTCCATAGGCATCTCCGGCACAGTGGCTTGAAGCGGATCAAGAGCGAGTACAATGTGGAGGAGGAGAAAATCGATGGGTCATTTTGGGACTCCATAACACCTCGATTCAAGTGTAACGACGATAAGAAAGAGGTAAACTCAATTTTCTGATTCTACGGCAAGAATTACTTCGAATTTCAGCTTGATAAAATAGTCATGTGTGCTCGCCTACTTCATGATTTCCTGCAGAAATGCCCCGATGGGAAGGAGGAGAAATTCCTCAAAAAAATCCTCGCTAAGCAGCTGGACTTCACGGATCCAACCCAAACTTTTTTCTTCCGCGAGATCATTTCCACTATCGCAATTTACAACGAAGACACTGATTGTTGGACGTTGAAGAAAATGTATCAAGAAGCGAGAATCAAGAGAAAGGATGCTGTTAACACCTCGGAAGATCATTCGCCTCCTAGATCCAAGAAACATAGGAGATCGATGGAAGATTCGTCAAACCAACCATCGACATCTACCCAAGCTTACCAGACGGACAATTAAAGTGTGTTTTCGTATTTATTGAATTTTTTCACCCCTACTTATATATATAAATATCCTCCAAAATTCCCCAGAAATTTTCCTCCAAACCCAACATCTCTTGAACTAGAATCTCTAAATATTAATGTAATTCTGCCAGTATTTGCTTATTTTTAATTTTCGGTTCTTTCAATTTCTCTACTTTATCCCGACCAATTTCAAATCTCTGCCCATTCAAATTCCCCTGCAAACCCCACATCTTTTGAGCTTGAATCTCCAAATATTAATTTATCTCTGCCCGTATTCCCTTATTTCAGATTCTCGGTTCCTTTTTTTATACCGACAAATATCAAATCTCTGCCCATTCAAACCCTCACCAAATATTTTCACGTGTTCATCTCGATTTCTGACATTCAATTCATTTTTCCTTTACGCGTACTGAATTATGTTAATGTGTATTTTGCAATATGTTTCATTTTCCGATAATAAAAAACTTTTCATCAAAATATTCTGTTGTTTTGTATTTTTTTTTTGTTTCTTGTAGTTTCAAACCTCTGCCATATCGAATTGATCGAAAAAACCTATTTTTTCAGAGAATTTGTGGTTTTTTCAGCTAAATTTAGTTTCAGACCGTTGCCTGTCATTGGTTCAGTGCTTCAGTGTCCAATACTGCATATTTTCATGTCTGTACTATGAAAAATTTTTAAAAAGTTTTTCTCTTTAAAATTCATCGATTTGAAATGAGAAAATAGTTGAAAAACTTGCAAAAATATCGTTTTAATGAAAAAAGTGACCGACAAAAAATCAAGGAAAAAGTGTGCGGCATGGTGCGAACGTACCAGCCCCGCCCACTTTCCCGTGCCGCAACGTAATATTTTGCATTTGTAGGCAGAATTCACTGATTTTCATAGAAAAACGTTTGTTTTCGTGTGATTTAGAAATTTTATATTATTTTCACAATTTCAGAAAAACTACTAAGTGATTCGAAAATCTCAAAAATAAGAAAAATGCTGCTTCAACTCACGAAAACCAGAAATTTCGCGGGTTTTTTTGCTTTAAAATGTTTCTGATTATAGAATGGAATTTTCGCATGTTTCTAGTGAGTTAATAACCAAAAATCTTCTAACAATAAATCTCTAAGGTCTAATCGCAAAAAAGAAAATTAGCTACAATAATGTGCGGCATTGTTGCGAACTGGCAAGCCCCGCCCACTTTTCCATGCCGCAGCGGGATTCTTTTCGCGTTTTCAAACAGAAAATAACCGAAATTTTTAGCGAAAACTGTATTATTGGCAGATTTTAGGTCTCTGATTGAATTTAGTGAGTTCTGGAACACAATTCGACAGTTAAAGGACGCTGGAGTTCAAAACTATCGCCATTCTATTCTTGCCGCCACTTTCAACGTCGTCCAATGTTCAAGCTAGGACCCGAACCCGTATTAAACTCAATAATTTTCATTCAATATCAATATAAACCTGATTCATGGGACATGTGTGATGGGGAATGCATAAAACTCGGGGTGTGGTGATGGTTTTGACTCGGGAAATGGAAATTAAAACATAAAAAAGAGCAAAAATAGCTAGCGGGCAAGAATTAACAAATTGTGTCCTAACTTTGGTATAAAAAATTGGTATAAAACCCTTTTTAGAGATTGAGATTGGCAGCTTCCGCGTCGAGTTTGTAGCGATGCTGCTGCATGATGTTACGGCAGTGGGTAGAAAGCTCGTCAACGGTCTCAAATTTGGACGAGTCCACTTCAGGAAGGATGTCGATGATGCACTTGCCACCTGTGAGCTTTTTCTCGGCCTGAAAAAAGGGATTTTTAGTGAAAAATCGATAATCGCCAGCTACTCACCTGGTTGTAAAAGAACTTGTGTGTGGAAAAGACACATGGAACGATTGGGATCTTGGCTTGTTTGGCAAGAATGAAGGCTCCCTTTTTGAATGTGGCAAGTTCGTTGTTGGCGTTGCGAGTTCCCTCCGGATAGATCCAGACTTTTCTCTTAATGTTGGAAAATTGACTATGTGAAGCTTTTTAAGAAGTGCATTTTTGAATGTCTGCTTGAAGCTCCTGTCACTGTTAAAATGACGTTTTAAAGCATTTTGGCTGACTAGCAACCAGTGTGTCTTTCGAAAAAAATTTTTCGAAAAATGCCTTTTTCGAGAAATTTTCGAGGAAATTTAAACAAAAAATTTCTCGAGAAATTCTTCGAAAAATTTTTTTCGAGAAATTTTCGAAAAAGAATTTTTGGGAAAAAAATTTTTCGAGAAATGTGCTAAACAATGCGGGGTGCGGAATTTCGGAGTGTCTTTTTAGCCCATTTTGAAGTGTGGTCTAAAAAACCAAATTTGCAAAAGTTAGGCCACCACTGCAAAATGAATTCGTCTAAAAAAAATTTCGAAAAATTTCTCGAAGTCGTGTCGAATGGACACACTGCTAGCAACTGGCTATTTCGCTAGTTTAGGCTGCGGTCAAGGTTCTTTCAAGCAGAAACTGCCCTAAAGGCTCTAGTCCTTTCAATACCATACTTTCTTAGAAACAATCTCATGGAGGGTGCTATCGACTGTCTTGTGAGCCTTTTCCTTGCTGAAGCGATTGATGTAGACAGACTCGCAGAGGTAGGCGCACAGGTTGAAGCCGGGGAAGTATCTGAGACTTGACTTGAGCATCACGATGCAGTTGACTGGCCAAGCGTAGGACATGCCTAGAAAATTTGAAGATTTATTCGGTTGAAAAAGTTTCGAAAAGATATTTTGATGGTTTCAAAGCGGTTTGCATTGCTTTTCATAAAATCATTATTATTCCCTGACTTGTTGCGAGCTAGAAGGTGCTTGTGAGCTTGAGAAACATCCAAAAAATTCGAAAATTGCTGTGAATCCACCGGACAGCTTACAACCAACCGTTTATCTTTTAGATCTAAACTACCACCTGCACCGTCTTCTTCTAATGCCGATCTGACCAGAAACCGCAAGATATCTGAACAGAAACGAAAGGTTATAAGTTTTTTATTCTGCCGAACCCTTCCGAAGATTCATTTTTCATCTCCAGTTTCGTTTTCCTTAACATCTGCGGGACTTTAGGCTCTAATCTAACGCTGCTTTCTCTCTTTTTCTTCCGCAGCTTCGAAAACGTTGAATTTTCCAAGAAGTTCGTTTTTAAAGATCTGTCCAGAAGCTCACAGCCCTCCGTCTTCTCAGAACAGCGCCACCACCGCCAGTCTTCTTCTCATCTTACCGAGAACGTCCAGCGCACTCTGATGGTTGGCGATGACGATGTACGGCTTCTCGTCATTGAGGATCTCGGCGTTTCGCAACTCGAACTCGATTCCCATCGGCCAAGTCATGAACTGGAAGATTTTGAACATCCGGCTGCAAAATTTATTCAATTTTTCATCAAAAACCCATGATTTTAGAGACTCACAAGTGATTATTGGCTGATTTTCCGTACGGAATCGACGCGATGCCACCGACGAATCCTCCAATCATCAGACACAGTCCATAGTAGACGGCACGAATGTAGAATCCGATGATTGGGAGTCGAGCAAGCAGAAGAAGCACTGCGATTATGAAAAGGACGGTGTAGAAGGTCATGGTACCTAGAAAAATAAATTGTTCAGTGCGGAAATTTGAGTATTGGACGACAAAAAACGCATTTAAAGAGTGAAAATCTCATAAATCTTGCCAAAATTAAATTCTTAACCACGTTTGCTCGTAAATCCAAACATGACATGGCCTAGGATTTACGCCAAATTTTATGCAAAAGTTTTCACAAAACTTGGGGAACTTGACGGCGTGAATTTTGCAAAATATAGAAAAGGAAAAATCTGAGAAGTGCAACGAATGAAAAGAAAAAAAAGTGAGCAATGGGACCATGATAATTCGGTGTGGAAGAAGAATTGCGCCGCTGCTAAACAACAGGCGGGGTGCAATGGCGGAGTGTCGTTCGCGCGCCCGCTTTCTTTGCACCCTCTTCTTTTCTCTGTCTCTCTCGCCGCAGGATTGTGTTTATCTGCTTGGATTTTGTTGTTCTTATCGTTAGTACAATGATAAAAATAAACGAAATGTATATTTTTCATTTTTGGTTTTCGGAAAATCATTTTTTGGTCAAATTCCATGTTGGAAACCTGTTTTATCACCGAAATTGATGTTCACTAGGAGGGAAATAGTTCAATTATTCGCTAATTTTGCAATTTCTTTTGTGGTCTTCAAGAAAATGTGAGAATCAATGTAAGGAATTTAGCGACTGATAAATTTGATGTGACATAACACCTAAATTAATCGGCGAGGTCTTTGGAATACGCATTTCCGTCTATTTTTCGCTTTTTAGTAGTTATTTTTGACCTAGTATCGTTTTTCAGTGTATTAAATAGTCTAAGCACTCTTTAAATATGTTTAAAATCAAAAAAAAAGTACCAAATCACTTTTGAGAAAAACGAGAAAAAGAGAGAAAAGGTGATAAAATGTTGCAAAAACACGTGATTTTCGTGGAAGTGATTGATTAGTTTACGACTAATCATTTCCGGATTTTTTATTTGCTTTTTGCTTACTATAGTTTCAAAAGTTTACTGTAGTTTTGAAATTTTCGAGTTCAAAAAATTGAATTTCGAGAAAAAACAACAAACGGTGACTCAATCCTGTTGACAATTTCCGTTTTTTTTTGCCGTTTACTCTAATGTTCAGTGACCAATTTCTGTCTTTCTCAATCTTTTTTTTGTATTCTAACCGTCAAATTTTCCCGATTTTTTAGAGAAATTGATGTGAGATGGAAACGAAATGGTATTGCTTCCTGTTCTGGTTCAGTTATCGGTTCACATTGGCATGTCTGGCACATTTTAATTGGTAAGATCGATTCAAGAAACCGTTTTATCAAAGATTGATGATTTTCTAGGTGCATGTCAATCTACACTAATTGCGTGTACTTCACACTATGGAAGAGTTATGATCTGTTGTGGTTCTGGATGCACCTGATTCTGTGTAGCTGCTTTCCTCAGTTGAGGTGAGTACTGTAAACTTGGAAGTTTAAAAATAAATTCTTTGAAAATTCAGACCCGAAAACTACTTGATTGTCTGGACCAATTTGATCATCAAGAAGCTCACCAAGTATCCTGACTACACATTTAAGGTACAGTAGCTGTCAAAAAGATAAAAAAGAAGTATTTCTGTTGATTTTGCTCATTTCAAGAGTCTGCGGCTCGGCTGTCAAGATTCCGATCACTTTGAAAACTTTAAAAAGTATAAAACAGAACTAGATTAAAAACTTTGCTTTAGCAGAATTTTTTGAAAATTCCTAGTTTTTCAGTTATTTGCCAATTTCTGAGAGGCACCTGTTTTATCAAATTTTCAATACAAAAGCGGCAAAAATAGGTGTCTTTGAGAAATCGGCAAATAGCTAAAAAACTAAGAATTTTGTAAAGTTCTGTGAATGCGAATTTTTTAGTTTACGTCTGTTTTACACCCTCTAAAATTTTCAAAGTGACTGGAATCTTTACCACCGAGCTTTCCTGAAGAAGGTCGAAGCTTTCCTGAAGAACAAAATCAACTGAAAAATACGTTGTTTAGTAAAATTAGAAGAAAAAAGATAAAAAAGTGAACCTTCTAGCAACTCTACTATGCCCTCTACACCACCAACCGATCGGCCCATTTCACAAAACGGCTGATGTCGCGGAAAGAGAAGAAAGGAGTGATAGAACTGGGTAAAACAGACTAGAATATTTCGTCAAGATCATATCAACAAAGTAATTTTTAGACTCGAATAGTGATGAAGACGAGAAGAACGAACCAACAAATAGTAGAAGGTGAGGAGTGGTGTAGCAAAAAAAAGGCATAGTGTTATCAATTCCTGTAGCAAGGTCTTGTTATCAGTTTGCGATGAAAAATGAAGCGGAATTGGGACTTAGGAAAATACAAAATTCCAGCGCTGCAAACGTTGTGGATCCTGAAGCACCGATTCCTTTGAGAACTTTCAATCTGGAAAGATCTGCAATCCCGCCACCAGTTGTAGAAGTTCCCGAGGACAATGAAGGTAAAATTAGATTTTTAAAAGAATTTTTTTAGCTTCCGCAAGCTTCTTCTATATGTTGTATGGTTACTTTTTCTTCTTTCTTTTCTATCTGTCTTGTTCAGAAGAGGACAATGATGAGCACAACGCCACTGAAACCACACCGTTGCGCCCGCCAAGACCATCTCGTCCGAAGTTTGTAGAGCCTGAAGACGATGAAGATGAAACTATTGAAGTGGTGACTGAAGCTGCACCGGAAGATGGTAAAGCTCATTTTTGGGGTTTACTGTCTATTTTTTTCTGCACTTTCTGTTTTATTGGGGTCCTCTGGCGATTTGGACACTCTTATACAGTAATTGTAACTTTCAGTGTCACCGAAAGAAAGCCCAAAAGAGAGTCCAACATCAGAGCAGCCAAAATGGAAGTCGTACGTTCCGAATAAAGTCATGAAGTGAGCCTAATTGTTCTATTCTTCTGAATTCAATGAATTTTTAGATTCCTGCCACGTCAAGGGAGCCAAACACCATCAGTAGAATCTAAAGCGTCTACCAACAAGGATGTCAACAATCAGATCAACAAGGAGGGCAACAATTCCACCTCTGCCATTGGCCGTTTTTATGATCGGATCAAGTTCAATAGTAGTAACTCGAATACGTCGAATACAAGTCGTCCAAATGGTGGGTTTTTGTTTTTAACATGATTTTTGGGCCTTCAATCCTTTTGCTGAGCTCTGGAATGAGTCTAAAAGTTTCTCCAAACCATACATGTCGACGGGCCGGCTGAAATTTTAAAATTGTGAGCAAAACAACATATCAGATGGCGCGGCAAGTTCAACAATCTTCAACAAGAATCGACTAGCATTTAACTGAATAACCGAGTGCAGATTTTTGATAAACGGGGGGGGGGGGCTGAACAAAACCATCGGCCCTGCTCAAAATGCCAGCTCGGACTCTAATACCGGTTTCCAAGCCGGTCGATTTTTATTAAAAGTTGTAAAACTCTCCAAGGTCTCATTTGGTATACTGCTTTGCTCCCAATCCCAATTTTAAAGGGAGTTATCAGCCTTGGCCTGTCATCCAGAAACAAAAAGCCTCCACACATGCAAACCCCGATTTTTAAAAAAGCCTCCACACATGAGAATCCCGATTTTTTAGAATTGGAAGTTCTCCGACCAGACTACACAAACCGCTACGATTGCCATGACAAGTCAAAGCGTGAATCTCGCGAGAAACGTGACCGCAAAGCCCTCCGCCACCGTATCCGCCATGAGCTTCGAATGGCCATGAAGGCAGACGCAGCCAAGGAGAGAGAGTGAGAAAAAAACGCACAAAATATATAATAATGATTTTATTCAGCCGCAAAAAGGTCACCGACGCCATCGAGCTCTTGCTCCAACTGCTTCGTATGATGTCATCGTTTGCTATGCTCATTGGAACCATTAGGAAGACGTTTATCCCGGCATCCTTTAAATATCTCAAGCCTGGACAGCATGCCTATGACAACTATGAGCTGATTCTCTTGTTCCGGTTAGTGGGACCAGATCCAACTCATCAGAAATCAAAATTTTCAGATGCACTGCCTTCCTGGATATTGCTATGTTCTGGATGAACGTCTCCTATGCCTACTGCTTGCAATGGCAACTTTGCTGCCGTCTGGGATTCTTCCGATTCATCTTCTGGGCGGCTATTCTTGGCGTGGTAAGTTTTTTTCGCTGTCAAATTGAATTTTTTCGATCAATTTCCATTGACACATGTCACTAATTCCTTATCAAGGTCTACGTGTCCTGTTTCAGGTGTCAACCACTGTCATGTTCATCCCAATGACCTACGTCATGAACGATTTGGACTTGAGCTGGTGCCGCTTGATGCCCAACACAACATTTGCCAAGTACCAACCCAACTGGTGATTCAAGAATGTCGCTTTTTATCACTTTCTTAGCAGCTGTCTCTAGTTTTTTCTACATATTTTCTCTCACGGCCTTTTCTCAGCGATTCGTATCCTCCGCACGCCTTTCTTTCCGAAACAATGATTCAAACGAAATTTGATGATCAAACATGTTTTTCTGTTTTTCGCTCTGTTTTTCTTCTTCCCGTCAACGGGTCTGTTCCACACACAACACCAAATAAATGCGTTTATTCCATAAACAGATTGGGGCTTCTTTTTTTTTGGACAAAATGCAGACAAAGATGGTTGAGGTACTACGGATTCGCACTAGCGAGAGGACAGGAGAGGGTATTTTTATCACAAAATGAGACAGAAAAGAGTTGACAAGTTGGTTGTCAGAAGATATTTCACAAGAAATTCAAGGGGGGAGATGGTGGACCAGTATGCAATAAATATAGAAAAGGAAGAAGGAGTAGAGCTTCATTCCAGAGTGTCAAAGCGAATTACCATCCCATCTTGACATAGCGGACGATCTCGAAGACAGCTGAAACAATTTGGGTAATTAGAAAATGTTTTCCGCTAACCCTATGTCCTAGATAGATTCCGAAGATATCCCGAAGCAGAATCCCACTGACCGATAAACAGAAAACCAAGAAAAATCTACTCACCAGATCCGCAGACGACGAAGACGAAGAGTCCGATGAGCCATGGAGCGGCTGGGTACTTCTCCTCGGCTGGCTTCAAGCTCTTGGCGACGTTTCCACGGTTGTTCACATTCTTGGAGAATTGCTTGTTAGCAAGAGCCATACGCTGCTTTGGGGCCATGTTGAGAAGTGTGTTTGGGGGTAGTTGGTTCTAAAAGTTCAAAAATTGATAAAGGAAACCGGAGGTGGAGAAAAAAAGAGAAGAATAAAAAGAAAGAAAGGCAAATTATTTAATAATATAAACTAAAGGGCAAGAGCAAGACGAAGAAGAGCAGGTGACGGTCTGGTCACATCGGGAAAGAGAAGTAAATGAAAGAAGAGAAAGGAGGAGAAACAATGAATGTAGGGCGAACACACGGCGTAATGCGGCCACGCGACGCAGTGCAGCTGTGGAACCGACCGACGCGTCTCTCGTTGACAGCGGGCGATGACTACGGTAATAGAGGATGTGTTGCGTCGATGTGCGTCGAACTGCAAACACGCAACTGTCGACGCACCACTCTCCGATGTGATGTAGGAGATAGGGCGATGAGAAATGTAGATCGGAGGAAATGACGCAGAGAAAAGTCAACTGAGAGGGCGAAAGAGAAATCGGAGAAAGCCAACACAGATGATGTTTTTTGAATAGTGGTGGGCTAACAAGGAAGTGGATGGAAACGTTCGATAAGTTCTGAGAGAGTGGATTAGCCGTGCGATGGTCAAACAAACAGAAAAAAATGGACAGCAAGAAAGGAAATTGTTGAAATGAAACGTTTTAAAACAGAGCAGTTGAAAATTAGGAAAAAAAGTCAAGAAAAATGTTCCGGAACTTCTGCTTTGTGTTTGTAGAATTCCAGAAAGATGAAAAGTGCATGAACACTGGAAATAATTCAAGGAAAAATAGAAAAATGGTCTCAAGAAGGAAAAAAAAAGACTTCAAAATATGTATTTTTGGAAAAAAGTATGACCTGAACAGGAGGACCTTAAACAAATTTTGTGAACTCAAGAACATTAAAAAAAAATCCAAAATCAAATTTTGGTCGGTTTTTGATCATATAAGGATATACTTCTAGGATTTCAGGCGCATCAAAAACTGTTAAACATAAAACAAAATTCCGCTGTGTTAAAGCCGGCTCTAACAATTACGTACAGCAATTACTCTAATAAAATGCTTCTAAACCTTTAACTTTATACACATATATCTCATTTTCTTTGAAAGATATCAAAAAGTTGCCAACTGATGAATTATTTATCATAATACCATCAACATTTTAACAGTTGACTGATTTTTGACATCTCTTACAAGAAACGAGATAATTGGGTTCGAAGTATACGTATAGGATGGACCCCTCACGACATCTAATATAATTTCATTCTGATAAATTAGCGATTTTTGTACCGTTATTTCTTCTATTCTCGATTCCAAACTCCGGTCTCAAAAAGTTGTCAATTGATAAAATGTTAGCCATATTATGATACATAATCCATTAGTTGACAAATTTTGAATATCTCTCAGAAAACCGAGTTATGTGGGCTCAAAGTCAGCGATTTGGGTGCGCTTCTGATTGAGAAAATACTTCTTCTTTCAGAAATACATTTTTCATGCATTTCCATATATCCAGTTTATCTCTGCGTCTCCACAAATTGAAATGTTTTCCACTGATAACCCACGACAAGAAAGTCAAACGACTACACTGTTACGTTCACGTCATGTACTGTTTTTCGTTGTTGGTGGTGGCTGCAACAATCATCTGAATTATCACGTATCCCCTCTAACTATGTAAGACGGTTCCTATTTCCTTGCATTCTAAGCTTTATTGAGCAGCAAAGTATACTACATTTTTCTTCATTGTTGCCAGAAATTGTAGTATAGTGTCTTCCCTTGACTATCATACGCAATCACTCAGTTTTCTCTCTCTCATTGTTATCGCTTTCCTTTTTGTACTGTCTAATGTAGTCAGCACTATTTTTTAGCCATGTTTGGTTATATATTTTTACTTGTTATTGAATGTTAGATTTTGATTTTTTCCAAATGTTGATTTCCAGCTTCAAAATGAGTCGTTGGATTCAAGACGGAGACAATGTGGACATAACCAATGAGCGTAAAAAGGGAACTTTTGATACTGAACGTATGTCAGCGTGGATTCATGGCGGACCAGAAGTTCTCAAGGTGAGAAAATTTAAAAAAATGATAAGATCATCCTAATAATAATTATCAGCGTCGTCGCGAAATTCTTAGCTTTGTCAAGTCAATTGACGACTTCAAAGATCCCGTGCCAACAGAATTTATGTCTCGTGAAGAGAGGATTCTGAATAATGCTCGGAAAGTTGTGGCGATGACGGATAACACGGATCAGATTGATGGATCCGACTTTTTTGGAGAAGGAATGTATTATCAAGCGTAAGTTGTGATAGTTGGAGCAAACGAAATTGATATTACAACACAGGTAAAATGCGAACAGGTCCGTTACGGACGCTTCGCGTTCGCGCGCGGTTGAAATAGGAACCGCATACGGACCGCACGCGAACCTTTTTCAGTAAATATCAGTACATGATTCGGATTGATCCGTATCCTGTCCGTTTGCGAGCTCAG